CGCTTGGGGTGTACTTAGTCAGCCTGAAACAGAACTCCACTCCGCTTGGAGTGTACTTAGTCAGCCTGAGACAGAACTCCGCTCTGTTCGGGTGTACTTAGTCAGCCTGAGACAGAACTCGGCTCTGTTCGGGTGTACTTAGTCAGCCTGAGACAGAACTCCGCTCTGTTCGGGTTGTACTGTGTCAGTCCGGTTGTACTGTGTCAGTACTGACATAGAACTCCGCTCCGTTCGGGTGTACTGTGTCAGTCTTGAGACAGAGCTCCGCTCCGCTCGGGTGTACTGTGTCAGTCCTGAGACAGAGCTCCGCTCCGCTCGGGTGTACTGTGTCAGTCCTGAGACAGAGCTCCGCTCCGCTCGGGTGTACTGGGTCAGTCCTGAGACAGAGCTCCGCTCCGCTCGGGGTGATTGGGGCCAGTCCTGTGGACTTGCGGTGTTTGATGTTCCATGTGATGTTCTGTAGTAACACCGGAGCTGTAACTCGAACCCCGGGCGCTGTCGGGTGCTGTGCCATGCTGTGCTGTGCTGTGCTGTGCTGTGTTCATGCTGTGCTCATGCTGTGCTCGTGCTGTGCTGTGCTCGGGTATCGCTCGCAGTCGATGCCCTCGAAGCCCCAAATCATTACCGTCACCGCCACTGGCACCCCCCGTCAGCGCTGTCAGTATTAGTGTCGTGCCTCATGCTGTCATGATGGCCACGGCCGCCGTGGTGTGTGGCAGGCGGTGCTGCGTCGGGGAGCGGTCGGGAGACAGGCGAGGCGAGCGTCCAGACCGACAGCGCGACCTCGAGCCACGCCTTCCGGCGCGACCTGATGACCGTTGACCCGCACTGCTACGAGTGCAAGGTCAAGTACAGAGACCCCAAGCCCAGCGACCTGGTCATGTACCTGCACGCGCTGAAGTATTCGGTGAGTGCACTGCAGACGAGGGAGCGAGCGGGGGCAGGGTGTGCTACCGAGTTACGGTGCGTTGCCAAGGTGTGTTACCGAGTTACGGTGCGTTGCCAAAGTGTGTCGCCGAGTTGCGGCGCGTTGCCATGTCAGTGTCGACGATTGGTATTGGTTGTTTGCACTTGTTCGTCCCACATGTGCGTGTAAATTATGTTTCGGGGTTTCGCCGTGGTTTAGCTTATACGGGTTTGAGAGAGTGATGGCCACCAGGACGTGCCGGATTTGAAGCTGCTCCACTAATCCATCACGTTACGAGACGTGAGCTCGTCCATCCTCGGCCATGTCTCTGCGTGTGTGCTGTCTGTCGGTGTGCAGTGTATCGGCGCAACTTGTCCTACCGCTGCCTGTGTGCTGTCGGTCAGTGTGCAGTGTGTCGGCGCAGCCTGTCCTACCGCTGCGCAGTGTGCTGACGCCGCCTCACGTGCCGTAGGGCCCAGGCTGGGAGTACGAGACACAGCTGCCGGACTGGGCGGCCGAGGCCTGGTGCGACCCGGACGGCAAGGCTTGAGGCCGGCCCGACGGTGGCGCCGCCCCGGCGGCCGCGGCCGGAACCTCGCCGGCCCGCGCCGCGTATATCAGGCGGGCGCGCGGCGCGACCGGCGCGGCGGCCGCGGGAGGCGACGGTGCCGACGCGGCGGCTTCCCGCGGCGTCCCGCCGCCTCGAAATACTTCCAGATACAAGTATTTTGTCATAGCTGGGGCCGAGGCGAGCGCGCCGAACTCGTCTTTCCATCCTTGGATGGCTCTGGCCCTGGAGCCGGGTTGTAGCGTAGGACGCGGCGCGCGCGAGTGTGCGGCGACGCGCAGCAGTGCAATCTTATCAGCGCTGGGCGTCGGAGCGGTGGGCAGTGCGCCGGGCGCCGGTATGTTGTGTTGGTTGACTGTCGCACCGGGTCATCTCGCGTCGGCCGACGGCGCGGCGCAGTGCTTTCTGTACTTCCGTGTTCATAGCGTCGTTTAGTGTCGTGACAACTCGAATCAAAAGAGCGCGGGCGAGTGGCGCGCGCCGTCCTGACTGGCTCTGTGTTCGGCGGCGCGAGGCACGAACGGACCGAGCGCACGCAGCGGCGCGCGTGTAAATGCCTTGTTGTTTGTCAGGGTTTCTAAGGACTAATGGGCACTCGCCCGGTCTCGAGGAGGCCGCCGTTAACCAGTCGTACTAAAATAGTTGTAATGCCTGTCGGCGCACGCCGAGACGGCTCTTCTCTCCGGGAGCATGGCTGGCGCGGGAGCGCGTCCGCCGTCGGACGGCGCGTCCCGCCCCCGTCGACAGCGCGAGGTCGGACCGCGAGCCCGGCCGACGCCACCCACCGGCCGCCGTGCCTTGATGACACCCCTCTGACGTCACAGCCGGCCCGGCGCTGTGGCAGTGCCTTGGTTTTACCTCAGCCGCGCCCGGCGGCGCCCCGGCCGCCGTCGGCCGTCGCCGGCCGCCGGGCCGCGTCGGGTCGCGCCGGGCTGGCTTCGGGGGTCCGTCTCGTGTCCGGTCGGGCGGCGCGCGTGTCGTCTCTCGGCGCTGTTCCTACTGGTCCGATCGGTGTCCGTGTGGCCGCACTCCGCGGACGCGTCTCAGCGCACCTGCGAGAGCTTTGGCCCAATAAAGCCGCCAGACGTTCGCCGTGTTTTCGTCCGCTTTGGCCGCGGTTGTGTGCTGCTGCGCTGTTTGTGCGCCCTGTTTGCCGGACGTGACGTCCGGGAAAATAGTGTTTGCCGCGACTCACGTCCGGGCAGAAATTAGAGTGTTGAGTAAATGGTTGGAAGTAAGCCATGACAGATTTTGGGTGAAATGGTGTTTTTTCCGCACGGGAAATGGACTACCAGAGCGCGGGTATCGTTTCAGAATCCGCTATAACGGCGGCTGATGCGTCTCGGTGCGCGGAGCGTGCTTCCTGCTCGAGTATCCCCCGTTACCATACGTTGTGTGGTGATGGACGAACAGTTCAATCAAGTTTGGTTTACTCTGAAACTGTCATGGGGGACACCAAGCTTCGAATGAAGTCAAATTGATAGCATTACACACGCATACAAATGTACGTGCAATGCATGCCCAACCGCAAGGAAGTAAAACGCCTCGCGCGTCTTCGTGGCTAACTTGATGGCGCATGATCGCTTTAGATAAAAGACGCGAGAAGCACGAAATCGACCATAAAACACGGCAAAAGCGTTATAGCATGGCAGAGATACACGGATTTTCATGAACCACATGCTTTAGTTGAGGGCAAGTGATGCGTACTGTGACATTGCGATAGCCCGCAGAACGAGGGGATGCCTATGACTGGAAAAAATACTGAGTTGTATTTCTGAAATAAAACCGAAGAAAAGAACAAAGCCCAGGACGTAAAGCAAACCGAACGCTTTAATGTGTATTTCATTGTTCATTGGTAAAGACAATTCGCGAGGCTTGTACACGTATGCCAGCCACGAAAACATGGTTATCCTTTGCCTGAATGACGTGTGCCCTGGTCCTAGCCACATGTACAATAGTTATGACATGGTGGGCGGGCCATCCGCTCAAAAATGTAGACAGCATCTCCATTCTAACAACACAGGATCCTCATTCTCGTTGCAGGCCGCGAAGGATCACCCTTTCGGCACGAAATGTTGACCTTTCGCTGTCCATTTTGCTTGAGCTACATCTTATTGGGGACGTTCCCTGACAGGCTTCAGTGCGTGGCGTCTGGATGTGCGTCTCGTGCGTGTCATTCGGCGCGATCTCCCCGTTTGTTGATCATGTTCGTTTTGATTGTTAATCACATCCCACAATCAATCTGATGATGGTGTGATGGCATCATTCGACCATCCTGGTGCGTGGGGACTGCCGATTCCAGCCCCAGACAAGCTTACACCTTAAAGACCTTTGAATTGTTCCAGCCTTGCTCCTACTTACCTGGTCCCAACCAAGCCTTGAATAGAAGTTTTGCTGACGGCTGCGAGGAATCTGCTGTTGCATTGGATGTGTGGAGAGCGAAGCTTACGTATCAGTCAGCCCAAATCATCGCCACTAATAGCAGCCTGCGCAAAGCCAGCGCTTTTTGTGGACGACGGCTTAGGCATTAAAAGCGGAATTACGCACATCACTGCCTCACAGAGTCGAAAATTGCGCTGGGAAGATTATTCACGCCTGAAAGGCTTCGCAATGCATGAACCAACTAAGAAAAGCCCTCCAGTTTTCACCAGAATTGTAGAGTCGAGTGGGTCCCGACTGCTCTAACAACTTTTCAAAGAACATACCGCAAAAATCACTTTACTAACGCAAGTAATCGCTGCGCTAGAGCCCCACGAAAGAAGGCAATTCAAGGGACGTTAGCCAGGCCTTGTAATGCGACCAGAAGTAAAGTCGCCACACACAGTCATCCATAGGAAGTGCGGCAGCACGCGCGTGTGCGCTCCTCCACGTAAGACGCACATCTACATGCTACAAGCTATTACGGAGGACAACCATTTCACGCTTCGTTAGTTGGTAATTGCTCTAGGAATTGTTGGACGAGTCGTCGGCGCACGTCCTAGCTCAGGTGCCACTCGTGGTAAAACCGCGGCAGTCAAGAATGAAGCCTTACTCCGTCGATCCCAAGTGTGCCAGCTACGCCATCGAGACGAACGAACGGTCCTGCACGGGTATACCAAATACTGATGCTGTGCAACGGAAACGGATGCCGCACACACGTCATTCTTTCGTTAAAAGAAAATAAAAGACAGCGGAACCGTCGGATGTATATGTTTTACTTTGGTCTACATATACCTGTCATAAAACCACGGCAGATGCACATTGCGCATGACTTCTGCATGATGTGACCGGCGTTGCAGCAGAGGTCAGCCGATGACTAATGCACAGTGGAACAAGCGGCCCTGGGCTCCAGCCAGTTGGCCAGCGGACGGCAACAGAGCCCGTACTACACCACACATCCTGCGACAGACCACGCCTATGGCTGAAGTGATGCGCCGGAGACACGGGCTCATTAACACTGGCGGCGCGACAGCCGCAAACACTACTAACGAAACACCACCGTCAGACACAGCCTCACACACGCACGCCCGCCGCCCCGGCCGGCCGCTAGCTCTGCGCCACCTTCCAGCTGCCGTCGAGGCCGTCGCACGGCTTGCCGATGATGCAGGTGCCGGTGACGGCCGGCCGCCGCAGGTAGAGCTCGCCCACGCGGCGCAAATCGTCGCGCGTGACGGCCTTGACGCGGCGCCGGTGCTCGTCGAACTGCTCGTCCGAGATGCGGCTGAGGAAGGTGCGCATGCCGCGGTCGGCCGGCACCACGGGCGCGTCCACCGCCTGGAACACGCCCAGCTTGGCGCCGTCCACATCCTCGGCGCTGAACGGGTGGTCGCGCGCCACGTCCGCCGCCGCGGCGAACGTGTCGAGCGTGCGCAGAGAGTTGGGGTCGCGGTAGCTGTAGAACGACCACAGGCCGCCGGGCGAGGCGATCGCGCCGCCGCCGTACGCGCCGCCCTTCTCGCGGATCTCGCGGTGCAGGTGGCCGAGCGAGAGGAGGCGCGCCAGCACGCGCAGCGCCGCGTAGTCGGGGTGCGCGTACGGCACGGTGGGCAGCGAGCGCGCCGCGTAGTGCACCGGCAGCGGCAGCTGCACGTACGTCTGGCCGCCGGACGGCGCAAAGTCCGGCCGCACGCCAATCTCCTCGCGGCCGGCGCCGACCACGCCCGAGAGCAGCTCGTCGAGGCCGGCGAGCGCCGGAGGTAGGCCGGCGGCGGTGGCATTGAGTGCGCAGCGCATGCCCTCCTTCATCAGCAGCATGTCGGCCAGCATCTTCATCTTGGTGACGAGCATGTCGAGTTCGCCGTCCTCCACCAGCTTCTTGGTAAAGCGCACCTGGTCGAGGCCCGAGTACAGCTGGCGGAGACGCGCCGCCGCGCTCAGGTCGGCCGATGCCACGCCCATGGCGTACTGGTGGCCGGCGGCCGGCACGCTGTTGGCGAGTTCGGCGGCGCTCATCTGCAGCAGGCTGCGCAGCCGCTCGGCGTTGTCGAACGCGACGCCGGCGAAGATGTCCTGCCAGAGCGCGAACATACGGCCGGCGTTCTGCTGCAGGCAGTAGGAGCGCAGCACCAGGCCCTCCTCGTAGCGGCCGGGCTCGACCGGGTCGTCACTGACGGCGACGGCGGCGGACAGGCCGCCCGTCCACAGCTGCTCCTGCTGGTCCTGCTGCCGGTAGTCAAGCCGCTGCGTGCCCATGCGCGTCAGCAGCTGACTGAAGAGCGGCAGCAGCGGTCGGAAGTACGGCGGCACGGTGGACGTGTCGATCACGCAGCGGAAGTAGGTGACGCCGTTGGTCGGCTGCTCAGACAGCTGGACGGGCACGCCGGACACGCTCTCGCGCCGCAGCGCCGGCCACTCGGTCGCGTCCGCGATCTGACGCACGTCCAGAATCGGCAGACTGGTCGCGTCGTCACCGTCCGCTTGCTTCTGCAACAGACGCCGGCCGTCCTCGAGCACCTGGCGGCGGTCGTCGTCGGTGAGCGCGGCCACCTTTCGCTCCAGCAGTTCCGCCTCCTGCCGCTGCAGGGCCGCCTCGTGGCCCGCCTCCGGCGTCATGACGGCCACCACGCGGTGCGGGTTGTCTCGCAGCAGCCGCGCCAGCCGCTGTTGCAGCAGGCGCGGCTCGGCGGCCAGCTCGGCGCGCAGCCGCGCCAGCAGGTCGTCCAGGCGCAGCGTGTCGGCCGGGTCGGCGCCGTGGTACCAGGGCGCCACGGCCTGCATCACCAGGCCCAGGCCGAAGTTCTGGCTCTGGTGCTTGCGGCTGAGCTCGATCCGGTGCAGGATGGCGTCGATGCGCTCCTGCTCGAAGCCGGTCTCGGCGGTTTCGTGCAGTGTGCGCTCGATAGCCTCCACCACCTTGTCGGCGTCGGCGTCGGCCACGCCCTGCAGGCCCACGGTGAAGGCCGTCTCGCGGCACGAGTTGTCGAAGCCGGTGACGTACGGCGTGAAGTCGGCGCCGAGACCCGACTCGATCAGCGAGCGGTAGAAGGGCGCCGACGGGCCGCCCACCAGCAGCTCGGACAGAATCAGCATCAGCAGCGACTCGTAGCGGTCCGTCACGTCGCCCACCAGGAAGCCGACGGCCACGCTCGCCTGGCGCTCGGGGCTCGGCGCCATCGGGTCGTGGCGGCACGCCACGTGCACGCGGCGCGGCTCGCTCCAGCGCCGCTCCAGCGGCACGCGCGTGTCGCACGCGGCCGCCGCTGGCGCGCGCTGCAGGTACTGCTCGTCGATAAAGCGCAGACGCGGCGCCAGCGGCAGGTCGCCGTACGAGAAGAGGCGGCAGTTGCGCGGGTGGTAGTGCGTGGCGTGGAACTGGCGCAGCTGCTCCCAGGTCAGGTCGGGGATGCGCAGCGGGTCGCCGCCCGAGCAGTGCTGGTACGTGTGCGACGGCAGCAGCGCGTTCTGCAGCCGCTCGGCGAACACGCGGTGCTGGTCAGACAGCGCGCCCTTCATTTCGTTGTACACGACGCCCTTGAAGACGATGGGCGTGGCCGGGTCTTCGGGGTTTTCGTGCTCGAGCCGCCAGCCCTCCTGCAGGAAGTCCAGCCGCTCCAGACGAGGGCTGAACACGGCGTCCAGGTAGATAGCCAGCAGGTTCATGTAATCGGCCTCGTTGCACGTGCTGAACGGGTACATGGTCCAGTCGCTGGCCGTGAACGCGTTCATGAACGTGGCCAGGGAGCGGTTGAGCATCTTGAAGAAGGGGTCGCGCGCCGGGAAACGGTGGCTGCCGCAGAGCGTCGTGTGCTCCAGGATGTGCGCCACGCCGCTCGAGTCCGTCGGCGTCGTCTGGAAGCCCACGCTAAACACGTTGTTGGCGTCGTCGCGCGCCACGTGCAGGTACTGCGCGCCGCTCGCCTCGTGGCGCAGGCACGCGGCCGTGGCGCTCAGCTCTGGCACCTCCTGCACGCGCTCCACGCGGAAGCCGTGCACCAGCGAGTCGACGGCCGGCAGCTGGGCAGAGAAGGGCCGGCTCCACGGCCGCAGCCGGCCGCCGGCCAGCGGCCGGCACAGGCGCGACAGCATGGCTCGGCCGATGGCAGGGCTCGTGCAGACTCTGGCCGAGGGCAGCAGCTGGAGCTTATTTATCAGCACGCTCACTCTGGAATGGTGGCAACAGATGTCAGAAACAAGCAGTTAGGTCATGTCACCAATATAAGCAGTGATTGATTCTACCAGAATATGATCCATTTAGTGCTGGCAAAAATGCTGATCATGAGGTTTGCAAAGATAATTGTTAACATTGCTAACCTTGTGAGCAGTTTATCCAATAAACACACATCATCCAGAATTTACTCTGACAACCTGAGTCAGCAGCCATAGATACAACAATAAGAGGTTCCCTCTCAGCTGCCATATCTCAAATCCTCCCAATTACCTCCTAACCCCCTCCTTATTGCCCCCATAACTGCATCATAACCCGACTAATGCCCTCTTTACTGCCTCCCAACTGCCACTTTAGCAGAATTTGATGTGCTCCTATGACTTTGCAAACATGAAACTTAGTAACATTAATATGATGCAAACTATTTGCCTATACTGGAACCACATCAGTGACAAATATCAAACAATCAATGTTCAGAGGCTAGCAGAGTTTGTACAGTGAAATAAACTGATACCTAATACATGGCAAATTAACACTACATCAGGCATTACCACTGCCATAAAATTTGTCACTGCCAGGAAGTTGCCAGGCATTGCCGATGTCACTATATCAGACATAATCACTGCTACTAAACACCACTGTAATGCAACTAGAGATATTACCCATATCTGAAATCTATTCAATATTTTTAGATGTTTTTGTGTTGGTAATTATGGCAAAACAACGGATGTGCTAGCACACTTAGACCAGTACCTGCATCTTAAATGCAGGCTAATCAAAAACCTTACAATAAGCCCGCAAGAAATACAATTGAATTTTGCGCATACATAGCATGTGGTGACAGGCTGCCTCCAAATAAAGACTATAAAGTCACTATAAAGATGTTATATAACTGCCAGATAAGGCACACATGGACAGCAAAGAGCTGCTCACATCATAGTTGAGGCACACACAGCCAGGGTTCAGGTAAGTGGCTTGGTGCAGCCAGTGCTGCTAGAAGTTTTATGGTGAGGGGGGGGGGGCGAACAAACTGGCTCTCATGCTCTGCAATTGATGCTGGCAGTGTGCAGAGGTCCAAGCTCTTTTATTTACACCGTACATACATGCTCTGAAACTGATTTCACTGCTAGGCCTAGCATGTTCAATGTAACATTATTTTTGTCAAAACCCTGGGCCACTTTGTATTGCATTCTCCAGTCAACACCCATCGCACCTAAAACAACAGAAATTTGGAAACTTAGCTCCTTCCCCACCCCTGCAGTTCCTATGCCCCTGCACGTACAGTATCTTCTTGGTCCAAGCTGTCTAGACCATCTCGCCTGCAGGCTGCAGATCTTAAAGGTACCGTCGTTACTTATCGCAGGCTACTTACCAATTTAGCGCTAATCCATCTACCGAACACGGGAAATCTATTCCTGTCAGTGCTAACGTTGATGCCTACCTGAGTCTGCAATTTTCCAATCGGTGGCCACAAACACAGTACGCGGCCCCTGCTGATCTTTGTCGAACGTTGACTCACGCGCAGGCACACAACCAACATGCTTCAACACACATCACCCTTCGCGCAGTCGACGTTTCACATGAATGTATGTAGCGCGCTGCAATTGTCCTGAAGCCCGAGTGGCGAATTTAGAGGTCAAACTTGGCTTATCATTTATCTTTGAAGATAACCTTGAATTCTATTGAACACGCTCATTTTCGATTAAAATATCATTGACATAATTTTTTTTCCAGCAAAACATTCCGGTGTCTTACGTTCATATTAGCAATTTCCTTTGCGTGCTTTCCCGAGGTCATCCGACCACTACGGAGATGTCCAGAGTTGTTGTCGGGCAAGTGGGTGGTACTGCGCGTTTCAGTGTTTTATTGTCGCTTGGGTTGAGGTGTGTTGGGTGCTGTTTTGGAACATTTTCGCCTGGAGGTGGGGGCGTGCGGAATATTTAATAGAGGTGAGCTGTGTTACATCAGAATAGGATACAATTTACTATCTGGTGTAACCTGTAAATAACCTCATTTCTGCGAACTTTTGGGACGCGTGTCTTGCATGCTTGTTGATATTTTTCCCAGACATTCGCATTTGTGTGATGTCTTTCCTATGCGGTGTCTTGTAACGCAATGATATGTCATTAAATACCTTTGTAGTGCTGAAACTCGTGTTTTTTTCCGATTCTGCCCATCCTCCAATAATGGCTTAAATGAAGTGTACCATATTTGTATGTGGTTTTGAATATTAAAAAAAGCCCCTTGGTGCAGTTCACAATCAGGCCATCACAAAGGCATGGTAAAGGTACATTAAAACAGTTCACAAGACCTAGACTCCCCTGGTTTCTCAGCTGAAGGCCCAACAAAATGCACCAACTATCTTTTGCAAGTTATTTCAAGTTGACCCAGACATCCATGATGCTGTAGTAATGCCATTAAACTCTACCCATTGTAATGGCTATGTAGAGATAAAGCTCAAGACAAAAGAATCTTTAGTTATTCATATTTGGTATTTTGTGAGTACAATCTCCACACATTACAGCTGTTGATTGGCTTGTGATCAATGTAGTACAAGGTGTGATAACATAATCAATGATGCAGGGGGAGGCATATTTACAAAATAAAGGAATAATGTTGTCTTGATCAGTCTTTCCACTTAGAAGCAGGCCAATAGCTTCTAGTGAACTTGTCTACCATATCTGATGCTTCTTTAATATCTTCAAATGTGGAACATTTCCTTAAAGGGTATTGTTTTAAGCAGTGTAGGTAATAATTAGGGCTTCATGGTATCATAATAAGGCTTTGACATTATAGCCTTTTCAATGATACACAGCCACAAGGTAAACTGCAACAAATTGCCTGAAGATAACTGTGTTTTGTCTAGGTCACTAACCATGAGAACAATGCTAACAGCATGCTTTGGGCAGATATAGGCCGGCCCTCAATGGGGAAGAAATACATTGCATAAAGAAAATAATATTTCTCAAATTGAGAGACTTTGTAATCTGCTCCAAAATCATGGTCTGCCATGAGATTTTATGATCTTCTGTGATCTTTCTTTGTTTTGTATGTCACATATATTATGAATCACTCAATAGTTCAATTTATCAATTCCTGACCCATCATTCTGATAGCTGCCCAAAATTGGAAGTTTTGCATATCTCTGCCCAATTAAGATTTAGTTAACATCTGGCATAGTTTGTGAAGCAGGGTTTTGTAGGGTCACTCTTTTCATGTTCCTAATAATCCTTTCCACCATAAACCCTATGTTAGAATCAAGCAGGCAGATGCATCTTCAAAAATACTGCAAGACTGAAATCGCACATAAAGTACCTCAAAGTACCAACTAGCCTAGTGCCTGCTGACATGGAAATATCAGCTCTCATGGTCTTGCCTCACAAGTGCTCTATGAGCACTTGTGCAGTGCTGATTCATTGCACACAGCAGATGAAATGTGGGCCAATGCCTAGCAGTATTCAATAGCATGTATGATGACCATCCACAAAAATAGTCTTCTAGCAGTGTTGGTGTACTAAACCTTGAAGTCTTTTAAAGGGACTTGAGGCCCTTCTCTCACCATTAGTTTTTCATAACCCTAGCCATGCTAAATTTTTCATGACCTAGTCTAGAGCATGGTGCTGAAGTTTCAGGTCTTGCTGGCAAAATACATTGTTATTTTATCATTCTGGCAACAAACCCAATTTGTGATTCCTAGAGCTGATTGCTCAGAGTGTGGTGCACAGGAACTGAATGTGCAACAAATGGTGGTGCTGTAAAGGTCATCACAGGCAAAACTAGAAGAAGAAAATAGTAAAAAGTCCATTGAGAGCCCAGCATGGTTTAACCTGGTCTAAGGTCTACACACACTGGTGTTGGTCTCCTGCATCATTGCTGTGTATGTAAGCAGCATAGTTGAGTTATTTTTCAGCTGTGTTTATCTACAAAAGAGTGTTTTATATGAGGAATTTATCATGCTTTTTTCCTTGCATTTCTAGATTGCTTAGTTATCAAGATGTTGGGGGCCTCCTTGTGGGGTGAAGGTGGAAATATCTTGCACCAGGGTGGTGGTTAATGCATCTATTTTGTTATATTTGGCTGTTTTTATTAGGCATTAAGAGGTCAGAACTAGTAAAAACAAAATCTCACATATCATTCCTTCTCTTAACTGACAGGTTCAAATTGCCTGCCTTGGTTGGCAACATTGGCTGCAGGAGAGGGAACAGTCTTAAGGCTTGGCATGGTTGCTTCCTTTTGCAAGGGTTAGCTAAGAATAGATTAGATATGACTGTATTGAAGAATTGGTAAAAACCATTACTAAAGCAATGAATTGTCTGTCATGTTTGTCATGTTTTGAAGACACCTTGGCTAGGCTGTGCCACAGTTGTAGTCACATATGTGCTCTGGGTTACCAGTTGTGGACTGTTCTTCTTATTGCAGCCATGTTTGCAGTGTCATTTCTGAGTCTCATCCTAGGTGCCATTGGATATGTTTGCCAGATTTGAGCCTTGAAGACTAGATTCTATCACTGAAAGCTATTGCTGCTTCTAGGGTCCATCTTGGGATGCAGGAATCCATGATCTTTAGTGATCATCAACAACTGTCAGCATCAACAATGCCACCACCAATTGTCTCTTGAAAACAAAATCAAACTTTCACCCACTCTGACTCAGATCTGAGGTTTTCAGTCTGGTCTGCTGGAGTCCATCTGCAGTCTGTGACCTACTCCTGTCAGGTCATGGTCTGCGTACAAACCAGAAAGGTGCAATGCTAGGGCCGCGCAATCATTTGGGAACAATGCTGGGACTGCAACTTATCAGTGACAAGACATCCTGCATGCATGGGTCATCATATGCACCAGAGTAGGGTGGCATGAGCAAGAGTGTATTGGAGGAAGGGGTGGCAGGGTCATGATGTTTCAGCAAAAGTTACATTCAATTCCATTAATTATTGGTTGACAATGTCCACAGCTTATTGTCCATTATATACTGCCATTCCCGAGCTTTTTTCTGGAGGGCAGGGCTGGTCAGGATGATAGAGTTCATGCAATCTTTGATGCTGGGACTTTCAGGCCTCTAAACCAGGTGAACATGAGTACACCCTTCCTTGCAATGTTTTGCCTTAGACCGCAATTCCTTTATCTGATTAGCTTGGTCGAGCATTTTGCTCCAGTACACATGTATATTTCATCGGCTCGCGAAGCGTGGGCTCGGGGGAGCTCACCATCGGTGGGTACAGGCCATTTCAAGCTTTGCTAATATGCATTGATTTTAGTAGCTGACGGTTGATGGTTGGGGTGGACAGCCGGCGACCGCAGCACGGCACCGCGGTGCGATTGTCGTGGTTGGGGTGGACAGCCGGCGGCCGCAGCACGGCGCCGCGGCGCGGCTGTTGTGGTTGGGGTGGACAGCCAGCGGCCGCAGCACGGCGCCGCGGCGCGGCTGTTGTGGTTGGGGTGGACGGCCAGCGGCCGCAGCACGGCTGCTGGGGCGAAAGCAGCTCATCTTTTAGCTCTTGTATGTATGTGGATCTGTACTGATGTTTGAAGCGCTCCAACATAAAATGGCCAGTCCTAGTGTCGACTCGATAAAGTAAAGAGGTGACACATGTTAAAAAGAGCACTGTAACAGCAATCGCGCAGGGATTCAGCAAAGGCGCACACACACAAAACACACATGAGATGCACAAGCATACACACATACATATTCATCAAGCCGCAGCAGAATTATTGCGCAGTTCACGCTTAAAAGACGCGAGTGACAAAGTGCGGAGTTTCCGGGTTTCAGTTAGATGTTAGTATGTTATTGGCCAGGTAATGGCCGCTCGCTGGCCTCGTGGCTGGGAGTGAGGAGCGGCCGACCGGGCCGGACCGACCGGTCAGACAGGCCGGGTCCGTCCGTGACTCCCGGCCAGTGTCGCGGGCTATGCGAGGCAACTCCCTGACGGCACGTGCAGGGTCACGCATCTCGCCCAACGGTCGCCTCAGGGTTCCGTCATGCTTGTAAAACATTGGGCGGCGTGGTTACAGGCGTTCGTGCTGTGGAAAGGTCTCGTTAGTGATCCAGGACCCTATTCCGACACTGCGCTGTTGCAAGGTCCACACCGGCCTACAGCGAGGGAACCGTGCCACGCGCTGAGTAGTGAGATTGGTGCGATCGCAGGCATGCCGTGTGCCAGATTCAGCTCTGGAGCCGTGTCCGCCGTTCTCAGGTGCGAGCAGTGAGCCATGGCGGAGGCGCCAGACATCAGCGGTAACGTGACGCCCGGCGGTGGGGCCCAGGTCAAGATCGGAAACTACATCCTGGGCGATACCATTGGCAAGGGTACCTTCGGCAAGGTCAAATGTAAGCCTGCCGTCCTCGTGCGCACCAGTGTGCGTACCAGCAACCAGTATTTGTTGATATCGTTGCGTGTATCTTAACGTTTTGGTTTTTGCGTTGTTGATTGACATTAAATGTGTTTATTGTCATGTTTGCACATGCGTCTAAATGCTGTTTTTGTATGTTTTCACGTTGCTCTCTTTCAGCGGCTGCTTTTGACAGGCTTTGGTTGTTATGCCCATGGAGTGGCTGTTCTGGGAACTAAGATTCTCCATTTTGCGTTCTCTCGACATCAAAATGTTTTGCGAGCATTCTAGCTCTGTATCGTGCATCTGGTGGTTTTCAGTTGCTGTTCATCAGAAGACGCAGAATCGGGTGGCTGTGAAGATTCTTAACCGGGAGAAAATCAAGAATCTGGATGTTGCTGGAAAAATTAAGCGTGAAATCCAAAATCTTAAGCTCTTCCGACACCCCCATATCATCAAACTGTGAGTTCACTGTGTAGAAGACACTTGATGAACCAAAACCTCATGCCCGAGCTGTTCCTTAAATGGTCCATTGCATTTCATCTGCATTCTACATGCGTCTTTTTTGGTGGACGCTGCCCGGCTCGCGTTATCGTTGTATTCCGAGCCATGTTCGTGGCGTATCGTATTACATTGTTATTATGTCAGCTATCCTCTTGCACTGCGACCGTGTGCGCTCGAGTGTCGTGCAGCATCAATGTCGTGCAGTATCTATTGCTTTCATGTAATTCGTCGGTTGGTCTGACTTTGGCAAAACCAGTCACGCCACACGTGACTACGTCCAACCGTCATTACAGGTCATTTAAGGTCAACTTACTGGTGTTGAACCAACTTAGTATGTCCACGTTTGAGAAATAAGTCATCACTGACGAATTTCCGCATCAACTACTATCTGCATAACGTGACTTTGAGGGGCGGAAGATTTAAGTCTGAGGTGATCCGTGCTTTACCGGACCTGACCCTCACTCTTGTCATGACCTGACCGTCGGCCTTGACCTTTTCTGACCTTTACCGTCAATCTTTGTTGGTATGGTTTGAGCCTGAAGGGCTCGAGCGCGCCGTTTCGTTAAGTTAATAATTGGGTGTAGAAAGCCAGGTAATTAATAAAAAATTGGTTTAACTTAGTCATTTTTCGTGACCTTGACGTCATCAGTAGTGTGGTGGACCTCAACGTTCCGACTTCCCTGTGAGATTGACCCGTGCTGTCAGTTGCCGTTTCAATTTTTCCGATGTTGTGATAAATCCCCCGATACCGAGGGGTGGTTTTACCTGCCAGGCGGTCACACGCGGCCAAACGCCCCGGGCGGTGTGGGGTGACCGTGGCTACCCGTCCGCCGCAGGTACCAAGTCATCAGCACCCCCACCGACATCTTCATGGTGATGGAGTTTGTGTCGGGCGGAGAACTGTTCGAGTACATCATCAAACACGGCAAGGTAACGCGTGCTCGGCGGTCGTCAAGAGAGCTGTGTTGTGTCGCTGCGGAGAGCTGGAAACACGTGCCACTGTGCTGTACCAGCAGCACAATGCCGTTGACAAGCTGGCTGCATCGGAGCTGCCGGGCGGCGCAAAAGCCGCCATCGGTTTTGAATACCAAAACAGAACTCGGCCGTTGTGCAGCACGGCCTCTGACCTGCGCTGCGTCCGGTGCGGCCCGTCTCGCTCACAACATACCCCAGTTCCGTGTCTGCGGTACGTGACGCCTCGTCTCGTTCCGTGTCTGTGGAACATGACGTCTCGCCTACTCCGCAGCTGAAGGAGCAGGAGGCCCGACGCTTCTTCCAGCAGATCATCTCGGGCGTGGACTACTGCCATCGTCACATGGTCGTCCACCGCGACCTCAAGCCGGAGAACCTGCTGCTCGACTCCAACCGCAACGTCAAGATCGCCGACTTCGGTCAGTGGGCCGTGGAGCGCTGTCCTCCAGCAGCTGCGTGGCGGCGCTGGCCGGATGTTTGTCGGCGCTGAAATCGTCAGTGTGTTCTCAGGCGTCACGTTACGCATCGTTTGCAGTTCTCATTCGATTCTAGTTTATTTGTGCTGTTTTCCGCGAACTCCTGCCATTTCTGAGAAATATTTTGCTCGTCTGCCAGGTGCCACGGCTCTTTCGCCCCCCCCCCCCTTCCCCCTCCTCCCCGCTCACCGCCTACGCGTGCTCCCGCAGGCCTCTCAAACATGATGAAGGATGGCGACTTCCTGTCCACGTCTTGCGGATCTCCCAACTACGCGGCGCCCGAGGTGATCTCGGGCAGCATGTACGCTGGGCCAGAGGTGGACGTCTGGTCGTGTGGCGTCATCTTGTACGCACTGCTATGCGGCACGCTGCCCTTCGACGACGACCACGTACCCACCCTCTTCACCAAGATCAAAAGTGAGGCTGGCGACGCGGCGCGGCGCGTGCTGAGGTGCGGAGCGGCGCGCCGCGCACCAGGAGTGAGGCAGCTCCTCCGTTGGTGTCGGTGCTGGCTGGCATTCGTGTAGGGGACGTGAAGAGTTTATCGCAAATTGGATCTTCGTACAACCATAAGCTATCCGCACGCGCCTGTGCGTGATAGGACTCACAGGCATCCTTCACTCGTGCCACCGCCGTTGGCTGGGTGCAGTCCGTTTTGTGTGACCTTTACGAGCTGCACCCGCCGTTGGCTGGGTGTAGCTCATCAGCTCCAGTAAGGCCGACGCGGCGGTCGCCAGCCCCAGATTGCCGTCGGCCGGGCCGGGCCGGGCCGAGCCGAGCCGAGCCGAGCCGAGCCGAGCCGAGCCGAGCCGAGCCGGGCCGGGCCGAGCCGAGCCGGACGGGCCGGGGCCAGGCGCGGTAGTCCCGGTGGGCGTGGCGGCCGATGACGCGACGCTCGGTCGTCTCTGTGCTCCAGAGGGCGTGTTCCCAATCCCGGACTACCTGAACAAGTCTGTGGTCTCGCTGCTCTGCCACATGCTGCAGGTGCAGCCCATGTGCCGAGCCACCATCGAGGACGTGAGGTGAGCGTGCGCGGTGGCCCGGCTCCGGGCGGTCAGAGCGTACCGCGAGAGTGAGGCGCGCTGGTCGGGCGCAGTACCGCTGACCTCGGATGTGCGTCTCGACTCAGAAGTGAGCAGGGTATGAGCCTGCTCGTGCGTGCCACGCCAAAGTGAGCAGGGTATGAGCCTGCTCGTGTGTACCACGCCAAAGTGAGCAGGGTATGAGCCTGCCCGTGCGTACCACGCCAAAGTGAGCAGGGTATGAGCCTGCTCGTGCGTACCACGCCAAAGTGAGCAGGGTATGAGCCTGCTCGTGCGTGCCACGCCAAAGTGAGCAGGGTATGAGCCTGCTCGTGTGTACCACGCCAAAGTGAGCAGGGTATGAGCCTGCCCGTGCGTACCACGCCAAAGTGAGCAGGGTATGAGCCTGCTCGTGCGTACCACGCCAAAGTGAGCAGGGTATGAGCCTGCTCGTGCGTGCCACGCCAAAGTGAGCAGGGTATGAGCCTGCTCGTGCGTGCCACGCCAAAGTGAGCAGGGTATGAGCCTGCTCGTGTGTACCACGCCAAAGTGAGCAGGGTATGAGCCTGCTCGTGCGTACCACGCCAAGGCGTCACCTCACGGAACCATAAGCTCGTGACTCCGATCTGACGCTGTGTGGCCGTGCCCGGCAGGAACCACGAGTGGTTCCAGCAGGACCTCGCCGCCTATTTGTTCCCGGAGCCCTCGGAGCAGGACTCGTCCATCATTGATCAGGATGTGGTGGCCGACATATGCACGGTAAGTCTGGCCAACGGCGCCCGCAGCTTCTGGGCTCTTGGACGCCGAGCTGCCGCCGGCCCCAGCCTCCCACTTCTGCAGATTCCATGCTTCCCAGACCCTGGACTCCCATGGATCCCGGGCCTTCTCTGACCCCATTTTTTACGGATCGCAGGCTTGTCCGGTTCATATCTGCCCCGATCCCAGATTACCCAGAACTGCTCCCGCAAACCACAGACTCCCATGCTGCCACAGACTTCAGGCTCCCCTGAACAGCCCCACCCTTGAACCACAGGTTCCGGCCTGCAAATCGCAGATCCCCTGAACGGCTAGCCCTCCGGGCTCAAGACTGTCGGGTAGTGGGGATGTGGTCTTTCGGATTGTGTTCACATTTTCAAGTTAATTGCGGCGTGCCTCACATTAGCGCCGCACCTGAGCTCCGGTTGGCGGTGGTGGTCGTGCGCCGCCATGGCCCCGTGTTCAGTGGCCCGCCCCCGCCCCCGCCCCCTCCCCGCTGGGAACGCCGCTCACCAGCTGCGCGTGTCGCTCGCGGCAGAAATTCAACGTGTCGCCCGACGAGGTGCACGCGGCGCTGCTGTCGGAGGACCCGCAGGACCAGCTGGCAATCGCCTACCACCTGCTCATCGACAACAAACGACTGGCGGGCGAGCCGGAGAAGTTCGAGATGCGCGACTTTTACGGCCCGAACTCTCCGCCGCTCACGGCGCCCGTGAAGGTCGGCCCGCTCGGTACGTGGGGGTGGTGCCGGCGGAGGCGGACTCGGCTCAGGCGGTCACGCTGGGGCCCGGCGCGCTTCACGGGAGCCGCCGCGGCGAGGACGGAGGTGATGGCGCGCTTGTTCGCGGCGGTGGTTGTCTCGTGCTGAGTTCTGGCTTTCGTGTGTTTGGCTTGTGTGCTGTGGGGCATGGGGTCCGTTGTCGTCTCACCATCGGGTCCACGAGATTGGCGCATCGCGTCCGTGTTGACGCCAGCTGTCGGCATTGCCCGGAGACGGGCGCGGGCGGCCGAGTGCTCGGTCAGGCCCGGAGCGACGCCGTGCGGCGGGCCGGTGCGCCGCCGGTGCGCTGACCCACCGCCCGGCCGTCCCGGCGGGCCGGTGCGCCGCCGGTGCGCTGACCCACCGCCCGGCCGTCCCGGCGGGCCGGTGCGCCGCCGGTGCGCCGACCCGCCGCCCGGCCGTCCCGGCGGGCCGGTGCGCCGCCGGTGCGCCGACCCGCCGCCCGGCCGTCCCGGCGGGCCGGTGCGCCGCCGGTGCGCTGACCCACCGCCCGGCCGTCCCGGCGGGCCGGTGCGCCGCCGGTGCGCTGACCCGCCGCCCGGCCGCCCCGTCGGCAGGTAACCCGCTGCCGTCCGCCGAGCCGGCCGGACGGCCCCCACCCGGAGCGAATACCGCGTGAGTATTCGCCGAGCCGGCGCGCGCCGCCGCCCGTCGCCCGCCGGCGCCGAGAGGCCGGCCGGCCGGCGCGCGCCGCCGCCCGTCGCCCGCCCGCCGAGAGGTCGGCCGGCTGGCCGCGCCGCACGGCGCCCTGGGCTGGGGTCGGGCTGGGCCGATACTGCCGCCGCTGGCACCGGAAATGAAAGGCATTTCCGCTGTTCGTCGGCGTGCGGTGCCTAGAGCGGGGCTGTTTGTCCGACGGCAGTGTTTCAATAGGGGGATGGCACAGCTAATAGATATCTGGCCAATTTATGCTGTGCTCTGTGATGTCATCAAGGCTTGATTAGTACGTGCTGTCACATCTCATTCGAACCCTGTACGATACGCCTGACACGAGTGTACGCCGATTGCCGCGGATCGGATTCGCCCTGACCTGACCTGACCCGAGCTGACCTGGCGTCTGTGGGCCGGGCAGCGTTGCGGGCCGAGCCGCCGGCGGCAGGGCCGGGGGAGGGCGGTCGGCCGGTCAGCGCGCCGCTCAAGCGGGCCAAATGGCACCTCGGCATCCGGTCCCAGAGCAGGCCGCTCGACATCATGCACGAGGTGTACCGCGCCATGCAGTCGCTCGACTACGTAAGTCATCGAGTCGGGTCGGCGCGGCCGGCGCGCCTCGGCAGCGCGGAAGGGGGGGGGGGGGGGGAGGGCGGGAGTACGCCTGTGTGTGTGTGTGTGTGTAGTGAACGTCGGCTGTTGGAGTTTGAGCTTGCAGGCAGCACGCGACTCCAGGCCGAAGGAGGTGCGTCCGGCGGCCGTCCATCGCTGCGGTTATCCGTGATATCGAGACGAACGCAGCGGCCCCCCTTGTTCTGAGGAGCGTGTCCACAGAAATGCCGATGTCAGCGCTCTTCTTGTGTTGCTATTGGTCAGCGGGGAGCCTGAGAGCTGAATGCGTTCGATTGAATGTGGCGATTGGCTTTCGCCGAGTGGCACGCTCCAGCGCCGGGCTGTTGAGGAGGTCTGCAGAACACCCACGGGTGGCGGCGTGGGTGCTTTATGAACTGCACCGCCCACTGGTTTTTTAAAGTTTGGTTTTGGAACCCATTGATTGCATGGGCAGAATTCTTTGTAGGCCGATGCGCAATTTGTCTTATAGGAACCAAAATGTTCATAGTACGTGGCCGTCATCGTAGCATTGTTATCGGTTTGAAGCGAATGCCCAGTTTTCTTTTTTTTGTGTAGTCATTTTTTTTTCAATTTTCTGTGTAGTCAGCCTCTGCATAACTAAAGGCAGCCAGTACGCAGTCTCATCGTGCGCGACCACGCCGCCCCGTCTCGCTCGCGTTTCTGAACGCGCGTGTGCCCCGTGCGTTCACAGACATGGAAGACCATCAACAACTTCTCCGTTCGCGTGAAGCACCTGAACCCGGTGACGGGTCGCTACGTGAAGATGGCGCTGCAGCTGTACCAGGTGGACGGACGCAGCTACCTGCTCGACTTCAAGTCGATCCCCAGCGACGACTCTGCGCCGCCGGCCGCCAGCGGTGAGTGGCCGCCGGCGTGCCGTCGGCCGCCCCCGCCGGGCGCGGCCCGCTGTCGGCGTGGGACCGCAGTTAACCGTATCGTCGAAGCGTCCGCGCCGTTAACCGCTACCGCACTGTCCGTCCGGTGCCGTGTGCTGCGACCGTCGCACGGCTGTCTGCTGCCAGCGGTCACACACACACACGCAGTCGGCCGCCACTGCCCTGTCCTGTCCTGTCGTATCCCTGTCCCTGTCCCTGTCCCTGTCCCTGTCCCTGTCCCTGTCCGTGTCCCTGTCCCTGTCCGTGTCAGTGTCATTGTCCGTGTCAGTGCCCACGTCCCTGTCCATGTCCATGTCCATGTCCATGTCCTTGTCCTTGTCTCTATGCCTGTCCTGCCCTGTTCTGCCCTGTCGCGCCCCGTGAGCAGCCCCAATCCGGCCAACCGGGCCTAGTCCGCCCTTTCTTTCGTCGAGAGCCCCGCGTGCCGCCGTGGTCGCCGCGACCGTTGTCGCGCTGTCGGACCGGAGGTGCGCCTCTGTCAGTCCCACCCTCTCGCCCTGTCACTCGAGCCCACCCTCACTCCTTTCGGGCGTCACCGCTGCCGGCCAGAGCTCACCCCGGACGCCCCCGGTGCGGTGGCGTCCTCAGTTCGCCGCCGCGCTGCTCGGCCCAGCGGCGGTCGTTGGCGATTGGGGTCGTGGTTTTTCGTACTGTACGCGTAGACTAACTGTCGTGAGATTCACCACCGTTTCAACCCGCATCCCACGTCGTGTAGCCCGCATGCCCGCCTGCTGGTTCGGTGCGCCACCGGTCGCATGTACCGGCGAGCCGGCCACCGTGCCCGGCCCTCCCCGGGCCCGGCTCTGGCTTTGGTCGCGTCGTCGTCTGGCGCGGCTTGGCTCGGGCCGCCCTAACCCGTGAGCGCAGCCGCACGCGCCGCCGCCGGGCGCTGCCCCGCCGGCGTCCGGCTGACCCTGACCTCTGACCCGGTAGCCGCCGCCGGCGCCGCCATCCCGTCCGTGGAGATCTGGCCGCCGGTGAACGGGCTGGACGAGAGCGAACGTGAGTGGCGCCCGCCGCCGCCAGGAGCCGGCGCCTGGCTGCTGACTGCTGGCTGCTGGCTGCTGGCTGCTGGCTGCGGGCGGCGGCAGGGCCGACCGCTGAGTCGCACGGCTGCTGCTCACGCTGGGGGTCGCGTTTCTGTCCGACGCCACCGCTCTCAGACTGCGCTCGACGTTTCGGTCTCGCTTTGTTTGGTTGTGGCTGGGTTGACATTTTCATGTGCTGAACAGTTGTAGCGGCACGAAAGGCTGTTGTATTAGTACATGCGAATCGCAAAATTATGTGCGCACCGAATCCCAGGTGTGGTCGCTATTATCACGCTCCAGCATCTCGTTCAATGGTACTGACGCATGCACTTGGGGTCCTTTAGGATGTGCGAGTGCATGCCGAAGCCTGGGGTATGGCAAGCATCGATAGCCAGGCATGCGTTCCTCGTCACCTCGAAACCATGCAGGTGTTCTCTGTCATATTTATGTATGCCTTGTAGTTTCCTGTGCTCGGTTTCAGCAACATTTTGCAATGGGCGGTTAAGTTGCTTTACCACCTCTGCTCTACCCGCGCCTCGAGTATTGTTGGACTTGTGTTCGTGCTGACTTGTTACAGGGGTAAGATGCACGAATACGCACCGGGAAACCGTATCTTGGGACAACCCATGGGTTGAGTAACTCGCTTAAGATCGTTCGAGTAAAGTTCGTCGGGATATTATTGTGTAGTATTGAAGGTCATGCAAGCGCCAGATGTGAGCTGAAAACGCTAGGGCTAAAAGCGGACTTACATATTGACGGGTACGCGATCAGTTAGCACAACATGGAGGACGCTGTATTTTACGGTGGCATCATTCATGGCACTGCAGCTTTTGAAGTTTCGTTTGTGCGTCACACGGGTGTTGGAGTCCCCCATGGGGTAGGCTGTCCTGTGTTTCCCGCCGTCCGTTGACTGGCGCCTGGAGGCGGCCGTGTTCGCGCCGAGCCGAGTGAGTGTGCGGCCTGCGGCGGCCGTGTCTGACCGGGTCCTGTGCGCAGAGCCGGCGGCCCAGCCTGCAGCCGGCCTCCTCACCGGTCAGCCGGCCTCCGCGGGAGCCTCGTCCGCCTCCGGAGGAGCCTCGTCAGCCTCCAGTGAGTGCCGCCGGCTCGGCCCCGACCCGTGTCTCCGGTCTGGTGACCTGACCGGGGCTGGCGCTGCGGCCGCGCTGGTCTTCAGGGCCGCAAACGCGGATGGAAGGCGGCATTGGTGGTCGGAAGGCGGTGTGCAGTGCGGCAAAAGCCTTGAGTAGTCCAGAACGTAAGCCTTATTTTGCCGCAAATGTTGATGATTCAGGTATTCCTGTGTCGGGATTCGCAGTATATAGACTCATCTGGTCCCCACCGGATACGTATTTGTATGGTATATGTATAGACGGAGCATCAGTTAATGCTCGGACAATTTCACAAATGGCCCGCGGATGGCAACCTGGCCAGCCAGTGAGTCGCACTCATATTTGATCACTCAATTGATATCACCCATTGTCATAGTCTGTCTGAAGTCTGGGACCCGCGAGCCTGTGGGAGCGGGACTGGGTCTGGGGCCTCGGCGCAGGACGACTGCGCCGGGCCGGGGCGTGGCTGCCCAGCCGCCGTCGCTGACGTCCGCCGCGCGTCCCCAGGCGTCGCCAGCTACTCGTCGTCGAGCTCGTCGGGTGCGGAGGAGACGGGCCCGCGGCCGGTCTCGGCGCCGGCCGGCACGCGCGACGGCCGTCTCTCGCAGCAGGTGAGGCGGCCGGACGCGGCTCGAGCTGCCGCCCCGCCGCGGCGGGCGGCGGGGGGTGACCCTGAGCTGGGAACTCTCCGAGTGGGGCCGTCCTTCCGCTCGCTGTTTCCAGCTACCGCGCGTCAACTACTTCGCTCGTATCTCAGCGGTCACCGATGGGGCTGTTCGCTAGGACCGCACGCTCTTCTCGATGGCATGGAGTGACGTTTGGGCCTGGTGTCCGGCAGAGCTCGGCGGACGCTGCCGCCCCAGCCACGGGCGCCCGCCACTACACCATGGAGTTTTTCGAGATGTGCTCGGCGCTCATCACACAGCTGGCCCGCTAGGCGGCGCTGTCCGTCTGTGGCGGCCGCCAAAGGTGGCGTCGCGGCGGCCTGTTGGAAAACTGCGACGCAAGGATCGGAGAGTAGCGGACATGAAGCTCCGAAAGCGTGGGGTTCGCGTGGTGGTACTGCGGCACTCGAATGCTCACCATTAACTTGAGGAACTTGGAGCGACGTGTGGTTTGGGTGTTGTGAGCAGTTGTGTCCCGTTTTGGTGAAAGTTAATTGTCCTGCTGTGCCTGGCGCCGTAATCGTACGATAACACGGGCCTGTTCGCCCTGTCATTAGCGATCGTTTTACTAATCTGTGAGTAGTTAGTCGTCTCGCGCATGTAGTCCGCCGTAAACCGTAGATTGAACACCCTTCGCGTCGTGAGATGTTGTGCCGATACCCACATGAGTGCAATGGTAACGTAACCTGGGCGCATCGGTTGATTTGACATTTGATTTTAGCGGCCAGGCATGGGTGGTGCTGCCAGTGCTGAGGGGCGGGGACACGGCGCCGCGCCCGTCGCTCCGGGCGAAGCGTCGGGTGCGGTGTGGGTGGTGCTGCCGGTGCTGAGAGGCGAGGACACGGCGCCGCGTTCGTCGCTCCGGGCGGGGCGTCAGGTGCGGTGTGGGTGGTGCTACCCGTGCTGAGGGGCGAGGACACGGCGCCGCGCCCGTCGCTCCGGGCGGGGCGTCAGGTGCGGTGTGGGTGGTGCTGCCCGTGCTGAGGGGCGAGGACACGGCGCCGCGCCCGTCGCTCCGGGCGGGGCGTCAGGTGCGGTGTGGGTGGTGCTGCCCGTGCTGAGGGGCGAGGACACGGCGCCGCGCCCGTCGCTCCGGGCGGGGCGTCAGGTGCGGTGTGGGTGGTGCTGCCCGTGCTGAGGGGCGAGGACACGGCGCCGCGCCCGTCGCTCCGGGCGGGGCGTCAGGTGCGGTGTGGGTGGTGCTGCCCGTGCTGAGGGGCGAGGACACGGCGCCGCGTCCGTCGCTCCGGGCGGGGCGTCGGGTGCGGTGTGGGTGGTGCTGCCCGTGCTGAGGGGCGAGGACACGGCGCCGCGCCCGTCGCTCCGGGCGGGGCGTCAGGTGCGGTGTGGGTGGTGCTGCCCGTGCTGAGGGGCGAGGACACGGCGTCGCACCCGTCGCTCCGGGCGGAGCGTCAGGTGTGGCGCGGCCTTTGAGTCCGCTCGGGAGGGGTAGGGCGACCGCGTGGGCCTACCATCCGGGGCTGTGTGCCTGTAGGCTGTTCGGACGGCGGGGGGGGGGGAGGGGAGACGCACCAACTTTGTCGTGGGTGTGTCGGGATGAGGGGCGGTCTGTTGTGCGTGAGTCTGCTGCGCTAGAATGGAGAGGCTGTGTCGGCGTGCCATTTTAGAGGCTTATGGGCGCATGGTGTGTGCTCTCGCGCGGGGTAGACTGTCGGCGCTCGGCAAGATAGACGGTAGAAACACCAATCCCCGCACCGCGTCCTTCGCGTCGAGTTTTATCCACTGAAGAACGGATTTGGTTGTGACGAATGATGGGCTCCCGCGTTCTTCCGCGCTGAATGGCATTTTCCCTCTGAATGAAGCCGTCGTGCTCAGTTGTGTGCCCCGCGCGGAGTGAGAGCGATTTTGGAGTAACTACGGTTAGGTCGAGCGTCGTCCACGGGTGGAATGGCCGGTCGGAGTTGGTGCCTCTTCTTCGACGCCCGTGGTCTGCGTTGACCGGGCATTTTAGTGTGGCGCGCGGGGTCGACAAAGACCCGCTCGGTAGATTTAACATCGCGCTCCACATGGCTGGTCCGCGCATGGTGCATGTGTGGCTGCAGACCGCCAGCTAGACATGATGAATACACTGGGATAGATTGACACGCGTGTCATGGCGTCGTGGGATCCCTGCGGCGCCGTCACTTCGCCGGCCAGCGACTGAGCCATATCGAAGGGTCCCGTTAGCTCCTCCTGCGCTGTGCGGTGGTGGCGGAGCCCGCTGCCCGCGGCTGCTAGCCCCGCAGAAGCCCGCCATGGTACTGGGGCGGTGAACTTCTCTACTCAGAAGTTCTCTACAGAGGCCTTCGCTAAGTGGCCTATGCTGACTACCTTACTTAGAGTCCCTTACTGACCGTACAGTATCGCGTTCCGGTTCTACGAAGTGAAGGATCAGCAGACTAGTAATGAGCTGAGTGCGAACCGGTCGTGCAAATGTGCTCGTGATACGTTTGAAAATATTACTGAGCTGGGACGTCCAAAATATAGAAAGAACATTCCAACCAGCCTGCTTTAATTCAACGGGAGACTTCCTGATAATATTTACCCCTTCTTCAGCCTTGTTCAGTCGAAGTGATCGAAAACGGATTTAGACACGCTAAGAAAAACAAAAAATCGCATGCAATCAGTATTCCTATCCTATCCCCATGGTGTAACAAAAGTAGAATCGCTGGTTTTCCATTTTAACTGCAGGTAAATATTGCAAAGTACTGGCAAAGAATACACGAAATGCGCTCACAGTTTGGATGCAATAATAAAGCACTTAAGAATGTCGCTGCGTCACATCACGCCGCGCGCCGCGCCGCGCCGCGCATACATCTTGGGCATGCACATAGCTTTTCCACATTTTGGAACCGACCTAGTCACGACGCATACGGCATATCGCAGCATGCAAAACAGGATAGCTCACACGTGTACAAATACCCAGACCCTAAGCCCACTATCGCACTCCGTATTGCACATTACCCAAGCCGACCGCTCTATTTCAGTTTTTTTCATTTAACATTCTGAGGTACACTCGCTGTGGGTGTCCTCGGTTGTTATGAGTGGTGGGTAGCTGGAGAGTTGCGATTGGTGGGTAGCTGAAGAGTTGCGAGTGGTATGTAGATGAAGAGTTGTTATGAGTGGTGGGAAACTGAAGGGGGTAAGAAGAGTTGGTATGACGTAGGAGCAGGAAATCGCTGGACGTTTCTGCTCTGCGGCAGAGCCGTGAACACAGCTGCTGAAGCGCTCTCAATACAGCGCTGAAGGAGGCTGTGGTCGGAACGTCTGCAGCTTCTCTGCTCTCAGAACTGCTAACGTCTATACATGACGACCAGCAGCCATCAAGCAGCCGTGGTAACTTACAAATTGAATAAGGTCGAACTAAAACTGCGGCGGTTATAGGAAAACGGCGTGACGAATTGTTTGACGCCTGCTGTAGACAACTGTGATGATGCATGTGGCCAAAAATATCTTCTGACTCATCTGCAACCACATCACCGCCAGCTTCCAGCCGCCAGGGCGGTCAGGCTGTCCAATACTCAGAACCAGCCAGTGCGGCGGCGGGCCACGCGCCACCAGCGGACCGCGGCCGTCCACCGATTACGGGCGGGCCGGCCCGGGACACGGCCCGTCAATTGGTGGGAGTGAAGTCAGCGGGCAGCCGCGGCGATGGCGGCCTGCTTCCGGACTGAGTCAGCTCCGGTTCGGCGCCGCGCCCGCCGATAAAAATACGCTCGCGTGGTGACAGCAGAGCACGCAATTCCGGCCGCCGGGCCCGCGTCATACACGACAGCGCACGCCGGGTGTGGCGGCGTCGCGTCGGCGAGTTGTGAAGGGGACCCGGCGAGTGAAGCGGCTCGGGTCACCGTCCCGGCTCCACGGCCTCATGACGGTCTGAGTCATGTCCATGCAGCTGCACGCGTTCTGAGTGACAGCGGCATTCGGAGGCGGTGGGCGAGCATTGCTGTCTGTGGTGGCGAATGAGGTCAGATGGATGCTATGACCTACGCGATGGCGTTACTTGGCGGGAGGAAACCTTTTCCGGTCTTTATATTCATGCAGGAAACGGTAAATAACACATACGGGAAGGCTGGTGTACATAAGGGTCGAAATTGCTCGAAATGCATTATTAATGCCTGCGTAGCAAACACCACGCTTTGTTATGGTCCTGGGAGCACCCAGTTGGTTCGAACTACTCAAGATTCGTTTGGATAGCTGGATGAATAGGGATTTGGTGTTATACAAATCAACCGATGCGAGTGCAACAGCTCGATGGAGACAAGCACTCCATCCTTGAAAATTACACCGACGTTAGGGCACCTTTGTAAGTAAGATAATGCCATTGAATAAATCGCTACGATACATCGGCGATAGGTTGTCATCAGCGCATGCAAATTTCACTAAAATATTTCCATAATTTGAAATGGCAGCATCGTCCCACACACATTCACTGACGAAATTTACTTTGGTATAGGTAAAGAGGCGTCACTTTATACACTTTTATCCCCTTCCCGAAATACTGACTTGAACCCCTCCACTGCCTCTCTGATGCATCCTCCCCTCCCCCCGCCCAAACGCATTCGGGCAGAATGAAGAAATATCGGGCTGAGGGAGCAATGAAAAATCCTTGACCTGTTAGCACGGTTACCTGAGCACATCACTGAGCATCACGCCCCCTGTATACCGCGTAGTATCCCGTATCCCTTTATAGGGGCTAGCGTTATTAGACAGGAGCTGAATTTGGTACCAAGTCTAAAATGCACGAAAACCAGGATAAACAAACAGAAGTGAATCCCAGCGATTGTCGAGCCGATCACAACGGCGGTTGAATTTCGTGGCGGAAGTGGTATTTTTTAGTCATGATGTACCTTTCCGTCATTTTACATTTGTGAGTCTGGGTCTCATGGCACAAAACCATACGCCGGAAAGGCATGAAATGACTAATTACTACGTGGATAGTAAACAAGAATGTTTGCGGAGTAAAATTTCCCGGCTATTTTGATATACCTGACAGCATTCCATGGGTTTTACACCGATATACGATGACTTTTTAGGCATTTCAGCTCTGTTCAGCAACACCAGCGTAAAATCACCGCCAGCGTTGAGGGAAGCTCTTCAAGGGCATCATAAGGAGAAACGTACTTATGGAAAAAATCGATGCGGAAAGAATGGCACAAGTAAGAAAGTAAACATATTTTGCTCGTAGCGATGTGTTCTAGGACTAAACCCTTTTCAGATATTTCGGCCCAATAATTTTCATCTTCCAAATAGTAAAGCTTCGTCTCTTTCCCGGTGAAGTCCGACTTGACCACCATATTGGCCATGGATTAAACGGACATTGCTCGCCACAATGTCGGACAGCGCCGTTTCGTAAGCACTTTATAAGCATCGAAACAAATGTCATTTTTTAGTTCAAAGATGTCTGATTATTGGGCCTGATAGATGTCTGGTTAGATATATCTTACTGGAAATAATCGCGTCTGAAAATAAGCGCTGTCGTTTTCTCCAAATCGAATAATAGACCGCAATGGACACTTTTGAGATTAAAACAAAACGAAAACCGTAGTGTTTGGAGTGTATCACGAGGCGCAGAGCCGCGCCTGACTTCTGTTGCTTGACTTCTGCTGCCGCGGCGGCAAAAGTTTTGTAACGGCGCGCCGCTGCAAAACACCGGTGCTCTGCCGGACGTCAGCCACCGCAGAGGCAGCCCCGTATCGGCAACACATGACTTCACTGGAGCCTAGTCATCAAGCGCTATCACCTCCGGGACGTCCCGGGCCGGCTGAGGAGCGGACCATGATCTGGTCCGGCCAGCAGACCTTTTATGGATTGGCATTCAGTAATGTAGTTGCGCCACTGTTTGAAACAACGAGTGTAACTTTTGCATCGGTTCCGGAGTAATATTCAAAGGCTTTTTTAATAGACCTGACGACACATTGGGTTTCGCTCCCGTTTATCGCTGTTTTCGCGCTTTTCAG